GTACAATATATTCAAATTGTATATATAATTGTAAATATATGTAAATATATATTTTTGACACAATCCCGCTTCGTTCAGGCTTCTTTCAGTTTTTCTGTGATTCGTTTTTTTTCCTTGCTTGAAAGAGCGGGAGGGGGGAGGGGACAGCTTGGACTTGGCAAGAAAGCCAGGCCAAACTGATACAGCATGATCAGAGTCCTGGTTCTTATTGCTAGACTGTGTGTTGCCCGTGAGTGCCACTGAACTGCAATACTCACATGTGTGCCAGGAAAGTATGTTGGGGGCATGAAAAAGTAACTCTCAGTGAAATTTAAGATCATCATTTAGACCATATTAACATGGAATTCCAAAGTACCTGAAATATTGTCTGATCAAGAGCTCGCAGGCACCCCACAGCCACTGTGAGTGGAGGCACTGGGAAAAGCAGTTGGAAAGCAGTTGTCCATTTAGTTACTGTTAGGGGACTGAGGTTAAGCATCCTTTGTGTCATGTTAGGAAACAGAATAACTCAAGTATAGACATTAACTAATCCATTTCACCTGTAGAGTCTAGCTGGTGTCAGGGCCACTGCTACTGTGTTATGATTTCGCATTCTGGCCCCCTAGTTGTAAGCACAGGTGTCGGGGGGTAAAAGACCTCTAAGAGGCTTTCCTGTTTCAGTGGGATTGATGTGAAGAGAGAGTCCAACAATATGTGTGCCTGTTTAGACTTCCATCTAGAGCTATAATTTAAGCATAATTTAAGTGGTGCCCTTCCCATTAGCTCTTCTAAAGCATAGCCTTATCGATCCTCTTTCAGAACCACACATCTCTAAGCAAGGGATTTATGTGACTGCCAAACCACAGAGCACCAGCCACCACTTTTGTGCTCATGAAGCTTCAGCAAATTAAGTACACTCCATGAGTAAGCCCAAGAGAGGGTTTCCAACTGGTCTGTGTTCTTGAGAGCTTTACCCTTCCACGTCTTTCTTTATGCAGCTAAATGTTGCAACTGCATTTTAAGTCTATATAATTTGGTGATATCCCTTTAACTGGTTAGGAAACTTTAAATACCAGCTATACTTTTATCTAACACATTGATTATATTTTCAAGTGAGTGGTGATATTTGCTATCCCAAGACAAAATATTTTTGCCTTTGACATTAGCTAGGATCATGCTTTTTATATTTTTACCTTTCTCTGAATACAATCTTTATATTAATTTCTTAACTCTGTGTTTATGTATTTTATTGAATTTTTGAAGATTGGATTAGTTTTCAGCATCTGATTTGTTGCAGTGACTTTGGGCTGGCTGCCCAACTTAACCATGGCTGATACCCTTGGATGATGGCCTGATCGTTAATTATTTCCCTGCTGAAACTGCATTACAACAAAATAAATTTTGTTATAATGGCATTAAGTAAAGACCACAGAAACCTGCCCAGCATTATTAATTTCTTCTTGGCAGCTGTTTTATGCTTTTTCGTCACGTCACCTAAATCAAGAATGAGATATTATTTAATATTTTATCAGCTCATGAATAAACAGGCCTTCTATTTTCCTTGATGTAAATTTAACAACATCAGCATTGAAATAATTATCAAATCACACTCATTATGCTGCAATCTTTATAAATTCAATCTCCCAAATAAGACAACATACTTGAGCACAAAAAGATTGAATCATACTGGGCTAAATTAGTTATGAATTCTAGTTTACTGGGTCTAACAGTTTTTATTTCATAAGACAATATGTAAAAAGGGTTTAATACTATACTCATTACTCATCCTTACAAATGCAGCAATTTTTAGCCAAAACTGTTTGTTAAGCAGTTCAGACTGGAATGAAAGACCTTGAGGTGAAAGGGGGTATCAAGAGGAAAATATGTCTAATTAAGAATGAACATCCCATAGGTTCACTGTTAGCACAACTGAAGTGCCAACAACATGTATTTCAGTTGCTTATATCACAACCATGCAATTATGCTAATATATGATAATGTCACTGCTCTTAAAAATATTGCTTTCCTCTATTAATTTAGGAAGGAGATCAATTATGAAGTCATGTGGTTTGGTCTTGCTGTTGGTGATGTCACTGTGTTGCTAAGAAATAGAAAAAGGATTAATTCCTTTCTACTTCCACCATTCCAAAAGTCTGCTCCCTCACAGCAGCCCCTTTCCCTTTAAGCTATATTCATGCGGAAAATAAAACACAATTTTTTTCTAGCAGAATGTTTTTAAAGAAATAACTGCAGAGGTGATTTACCACTGAGAATGTACACAGAGTTGGAGACAGTTAGTTATATCCTATCCTTTGCTACATTAATCCAATTCCATTTTAGCTAAGGGCAGCCTGATGTTCATTATCCTTCAAAAAGGTAGCTCTTGTCAAATATATGCTTTTCCAGTAGTTATCATCCTTCTAAATATTTCTTCCTTGTTTTCTGCTGCAGAGTGTATTTTTATAAGAATAATTCCTTTATAACTTCATCATTGGTTTGAAACATCTCACTGCAATTTAATGATGAAGAATAAAAGGAGCAACAGGGTAATGCAGTAATGGCACATGTCTTTGGCTACTTAAAATCAATTTTTTTTCCTCAATTACAGACCAATCAAGTCAGTGGATTTTATAAATTAGAGCTCAAAAAGGCCATCAAGATAGGTAATGGAGTAAGTTTGACTTTTTGCATTCTTGTTTTAAGTAGGGATTTTATTACCCACCCCTGCATAACCTACAGCCTATCTTTTTCCTTTGCAATTACCCAAGCAGGCTTGACTGGCAGTCTCAAATTTTAATTCCGTTCCAGAGCAGAAACACTGTTTTGCACATGGTTTTGTGCAGCGCACACAACTGAGTTGCCAGGTGTGAGACCTTCCAACTACTTTGGAGTATTGCCTGGTATCAAACCTGCAGCCAAAGCTTCATTGTGCTCGATGCTGTACAGAGAGGGAAGACCATAAACTTACAGCCAAAGCAAGTGCCAAAGGGACCAAAGTTCAAAGCGCGAAATAGCAAGTAAGGAGTGAGGGAGATAGGAAGGTATTCAACAGTCACACCAGCCAGACCAGTTCTCTTTCATCAGGTTGCATCACCCACCTAAAAATGTTGTGGAAGATTGTCACTAGTACTTTTCTGATGTCAAAAGGAAAAATATTGACAATATTATACCACTTAAATCCCAATCCATCCCTCAAGGGGCTGTGCTTGTTACAAAATCACTTGTAAGAGCTAGAACTGCTTAGCTCCTTCATGTACATAGCCCTGGAAAAGAACATATACTACTGTTTGGCCTAATAATGACATTGAGATACTCTAAGTACCTGGAGTTATAAATGTTCCTATTTCATTCAGCAAATTCTACTTTCTTCTTTAATTTAACAGAGGTAAAAACATGGCTTAATGGAGGTAAAAACAGAGCAAAGAATACTGATGCTCATAGCATCAGAGAACCATTTTCCCCAACTGATGCTCTTCAGTGATGAGTTATCAAAATATTTCTACCTGATTTCCGTTATTGTTTGTGTATTAGTTTGACTTTGCGAGCCCACTCCAAAATAACCATTCCTGTCTATGTGTTTCTAATTCTTTCTATAAAAGCTGTTCTTCTCTAAATTTTGTAGCACTTTATTACTAAAGTAGCAAGGAAATATACAAGTATCTAAACAACAGCCTGTCTTCATCCTTTCATCCAAATTACATCAAGAGGCTAGTCTGTGGAAAGAGCTAATGATCCAATCAGCATAAGAACATATTACAAATTGGAATTCTAATAGATAATCTCTAGAAGCAGATTTATTACGTACTTACACATTTGGAGAAATTGGATATTTTTATATGATTGCTTTTGCTGTTGCTTTAGTCTCTTGTAATGATCCCTTTAGCATTTAAGTTCCTAGCTGTATTCATTAGAAACGGGTTTGAATGAATGTTGCTTGACAGAGTAGCCTTCAATGAGGAAGGCAGGACAGCGGCAGTGAGGAAAAAAAGGATGCTACAAATAGATACCAAGGGACTGCAAGCCCCTGAGGTCCCCCTGAGATCTTTTTGCATTCTTTGTTCGTGTGATGCTATCAAGTTGCTTTTATGCAGTTCATCAGCCAATGCAACGTGTATACGATATGTGCTCCCAAGCAGTTCAGTATACAAGCAAACTGAAGTGACAATAAGCAATGAATCAACAACCCTTTGGTGAAATGACAATAAACAATGAATTAGCAGCCCCTTGCTAGGGCTTCCTTGAATCTGTGACTCCTGTATCATTTGAATTCCTGCCCTACAAATGAAGCACCAGTCTGCTTCCATTGCTGATAAAATCAGAACTAGGAAACAGCCAATAGAGAGTGGCTGTACTTACCTAATCATATACTTACTTGCTTGTGCCATGTTATGCACTGTTCAGTCGCAAGAGCCCTAAAAAGAAATATAGTTAGCTGTGAAAGAAGAACCAAATCCACAGGTACTTGTCCCAACATCTATTACAAGATGCATCTGGTAGAAGGGTCTATCTGTCAGGGATGCTTGGAAACACACTTGAAGATTGAGGTTTCAAACATATCTCAACAGAAATGTAAAACTTAAGCAAGTTGTACTCTCTGCTTATGCCATTCTCCTCCTCTCAGTGCTTGATTTTGAGAGGCACACAGTAGCAAAACCTCACCATTTTTGCTTTAAACTTAGTCCAAATGAGGTAACTCCTGGGCAGGCAGCCGTAGCTCTGCTATTTGCACACAAGCCCAGCAGCCAGACAGCATCACTAACACACTTGCTCTGCTCTCTGCATGGGGCTAGGAGTAGAAACACCTTTTTTTGTCTTTGGAAATGCCAGAGGTGCCATATCATCCACACACCTTTACCGTGTTGTTTATTTGAGACTTCCCACCAAAACTGACACAACACAGCAGACAAGACATCGCTGTGACCCTTAAAGAGGCTGGTCCCAGTTCTATATAGAAATATAAGTCACGATCCTTTTTGCTACTTGTGAAATTGGGAGACAAAGACATATGACAAAATGGGCTTCTGGAATTGTCATTATGTCTTTATTTAATAGAGAACTTATCAATTTTCTAAACAGGCAGCATTATTTCAAAAAACTGGACACAAAGTCATGACCAAAACCAAACACAGAATAACTTAAATAAACATTTTTTCTTTTGAAGATGATTGAAGTATAGGATAAATAAAATGTATTATATTATTTTGGAGTTTCTCCATAAGCAGTTCATATCTAATAGTTTCTCCATTAAGTATTCAGAAAATCAATATATATCAGCTAAACTACTCTGGCACTGACTGCATCTTTAGAGGAACAAGTTGGCTGGAAAAAATGAGATTTCACTGAAGAATAAACCTACAGAAATTAAGTTTCTTAATGTTCATGCATCCTTAATCCTCTCCTCCTTAGGAAATACGTTCTCTCCCTTCTCTCTTGAACTCAACCTACAGCAAATTGGTTTTACCTGAGCAAGGCTGGAAGCTGTTGGTGCCACTGCTTAGTTTAGCTAAGTGACCAGACAGCACTGGAAAACATTAGGGATCATCCACAAAACAAACATTAGCCTGCTGAGCCTAAGCTCCTGAGAAACTCTTCTCAGAGTTGCTCTTTGCTCCTTCAGAGGAATGTATCCACTTTATTTACTCCAGAAGTAGCCCAGCACTAGCTTCAATCAGCTAAACCTAACATCCATGAACATCCACACACTGCTTGCACAAGGAGAGGCTTTTGCTATAGTGAAGATTCAAATCCAGGTCAACAGTCCAGAGGCTGTGATGTCAATCATGCACAGAGGCTTATCACAAAGTTCCAATAGGTCCTGTCTTACCCCAGTGCTTAAATTGACTTGGCACCTAGGGAGCCCATTGTACAGCACTGCACAGACCAGAAAAGCAAAATGTAGCTTCAACTCAGAGAACTCACAGCCTAGGATAATATAATAAATAGTGGTCTTTCCCCACAACAGAGCAAGACTGAAGCAGGTGGAGCTGTTTCCTCTCTTTGTGTCACATTCCAGCACAATCTCAATGTCATAAAAGCATAGTTGTAGCTCATAATATTTAATATTAACTAGAAAGACAAAGAGAGCAAATTTTAGTTCACTACATTAGACATTAGCTTTTTGTTTAAGAAATTGAGTTGAAAAACCGATTTCCTTATGGTCTTTCTCATTAATACCACTTGTCTACAAAATTACTACAAAACACTGCAACAATCTCCACTCTGCCTAAAACAGCTGAGCAGCTTTGACGATGATCTGCTCCACCCTAACCTGAAGATTAATTCAGTCAACCTTTACACTGTTTTTTTTGAGAATGCCTTTGCTTTCTTGTCACTGAAATATTGTCAACTCTATTTCACCTCACCTCTTGTTTAGTGTCTACCTCAAAATCTCAGTTCCTATAGGCAAGAGGCTAGAAGAAAATCTTAGTTTCGCTTTGCAGAATTTCTAGGTCTCATATTTGCACCAAAAGGCTTGAAAACATGCATTGTATCAGCTTAAAGAAAGCAAATAAAAAATACCCCAAGGCACTTTTTAAACAAAATTCTCATGACTTTTATGACAGTCTTATAATCTGAAGAGGTGAAGTTGGTGCCTGAGTCATGATTTCTAAGTCCTTGGGGTTCAAACATAAGGGTTCCTCTTCACCTTCCTTTTCCTCTTCTGCTTTTCTACTCTTGTATTCGGTATGAGGAACGAAGATGCCCAAATTTCTGGTAGAAATCATCTTCAGCACGATTCAGAGCTTCCTCATCTATGTAGACAGCTGGTCTCCGGGAAGTCAAAAAGTACTGGACTTTCCGCAGGCTCCATCCCATCACGTACTTCAGCCAGCCACTGACAGCAGCTGTAGACCTGCCGACACCAGCATTGCAATGAACATAGACAGTGTGTCCATTCTCCAGTAGCCCGTGCAAGAGGCAGACAGCTTGTGGCAACATCTGTATTCTTCCTAAGGTTAAAAATAAGGCACATTCATTTGCACTGGAGAAAGCTAAGTTCACGGCTGAGATTTTATCTGTAGAGCCTGATGAACTGTGAATAATAATGGCAAACCTGATGTATTTGAGGTTTTTTTCTTTCTTTTCTCAAATGACCTTCTACACTAACTTGTTTTTTTCTTGCAACATAGAATCAGATAACACAAAACTGTAAAATGCTCCCAGTCTTCTCTAAATATACATTCTGATTAACATTGGATGTGCATGGCATACTCGTTTTCACAAGAACTGAGGCAAGGCAGCAAATTACATAGACCAGGACATCTTACATGGCCTTAAAGTCAGTAAGCCAAAAATGAAATGTTTCTTAGTACCACAGGTTTGTGAAGGTACCTACATACTGCGGCTTTCCAAAACATTGTAATGAAGGCCATCAAGTCAATAGTACGTCAGGGATGGAAAGCAGAGGACTTAATACTGTTTTAATTTTTTGCTGTACAACTTAATACTGTTATGATTAATTGTGTACTAAGCATATGGTTAAACAACACAGAACAGCCTTTCTCAGTCCCAAAGGGATGAATATACTATATTTCCAGACACCTTTCTCCCTGCTATCCCGGGAACTGAAGCTGCAGAGCCCAACTTTTCCTCAGGGCACAGATGAGCACAGATGTTTAGCTCTTTCAAATCCCAGTTTTAAGGTCCCCTGTCTTCCCTGATGTCCTATTACTGATATGACAGTTCTCTGAGGCAGCAGTATTTCACTGTGTTGAAAGCAGTCTCTTCTGCTGGTAGGTTGCTCACTTAAAAACATGCTCACTTTCTAACCTATTGTCTGGAAACAAGATTTTGAACTGAGTATTCCAACCAAGGACTTAAAAATACTAGTCATTTATGTTGCAGCAGAGGTGCTATGAACATTCTAAGTTAATTAAATATTATTATAAAATGTCTCTATGGAGATTATTGATTAGGCTGAGATACTATAGTTAAAGTAAAAATATTTGCTGCGGAAGGGAACAGGAGAGCACAGCTGTCTGACACACAGCACTGTCTCTCCATTTTTAATCAGAAAGGGTGGCAAGCCATCCTGCTGTGCAAGCTTGCAGTCTTCCACCTACACAGTATATTTTCATTATATGGTCTGAATTAAAGCTGAAAGCAAAAACAGTCAAGCAGTTATTGATGTCAGATGGCTTTAAACTCAAATACATAATAATGCCAGACACAAAGTATTTTAGATGGCCTCTCTGCTTACAAGAAAATATGAATAATTTGTTAAAGACAGCACACAAAGAAATTATAACTTGTGTGCTAAGTATATTTTTATGCAAAATTTACACAGATGAAAAAAACAAACTGTCACAAAAATGGCAGATTAGTAACTCAAAAGGTTTGTTGCTACTAATTTACTGCAAGAGTGACCTAAACATTACCTTCAGTGCTCATGTCTGCAGTTGGCAGCCAGACATACACAAGACCTTCCTCTTTATACAGTTTCATGAGGATTTCAGGGCTCATGGGTTCTGGGTAGCGGTTGCAGCCCCAGGAATTCTGAACAATGTCCCATTCAGTCTGGAAGTTCATCACAGCTGTAACACCCAGCTCGTGCTTCAGCTTGATGGTCACATGCTCCAGCTGCCGAGGGCAACTTCCCAGCCAGATGTTTGGCAGAATCCTAGCATTGAGAAAATATTGCAGTGGGATTGATTAAAATATCTTAAGATGGAAACTGCCAAGTTCAGTGGTGTTCCAGTTCGAAACCTGATGAACATCATCACACAAACACTGCTAAGCACAGCCTTTTCAGGTCATGCAGTAAGCAACTTCTCATTTCATTACAACTTCTTATTTCATTGCTGTTGATTTGCTAATGTTTGAAGCTGGGTATCAAGTTCCTAACCTACCACAAACGGCCAAATGATCTGAGAAAAGAAATTCAGAGCATAGTTAGTAGCAGAGGTCTCCAAGGCATCCATTAAGCTTGCAGTAGAAGCTTAGTAACATCACAGATCAGAATTAGAAAACTCCGAAGATTCGTGCAATTTGTACATACGCACATACAAAAAAAAAGAGACCTAAAGGAGTCACATGATCCAGATCTGAATTACTTTAGTAATAAGTCAAACACATAAAACTCTTCCAACTTTGTACTTACCACTATAATAAGGAAAGTAGAAAAATAAAATCAATTTGAACCATCCTTCTGTAATGAAACTCAAAAATTAATCAGTAATTTTCTTCTAATTTTTCTCTGATCTTGTGGAGTCTAGTGGGAATCAAATGCAGAATTACAACACGTGTCTAGCTTCCCTCAAGGCCTGAAGAACCCCAAATTTTTCAAGAAAACTCAAGAGGTTTGCGTGGGATGGATAAACAACCATATTTCTGGTACTTATCTAAAACAAGCTTCAAGACTTCTGTGGTTTTCCCATTGTTAATTATCATAAAACTATTGTATGTCTCAACAGATTTTGACATTATAAACTGAATACTAAGAGCTTTTTAATCTGGTTAATAGGGTTTTAACCTGCACATCCAATTAAATTGATGGTATCTACAAAGAATTATTTATATGCTCAAATTATTAGTGATCTCCTTTAATTTATTTTGCTTCCATAAACTTTGATTTTGAACATGCAACGCACAAACTACACAAAATATCCCTGCACTTGAACATGTAACTTTGCAAACATTAATAACTGCAACAAAATCTGGAATACTATTAACTGCAACTTTGCAAACATTATTAACTGCAAATCTGCAACAAAAGCAAGATCCTTAAACATAAAATGTCTTTCATGCATTTCTTATGGTCCTTTTCAGTTTTAATCTCAGAAACGAATAAGGAAAGTTTTATGTTTATTCAGGAACCTATAGACCGCCCTTAAATCAACAGGTAGCTATTTCCATTTCACTATCACAGCAATAAGTGCTTACTAGCATTTAATTAAGACCTGTAATTGACTGAAATGATTAAATACTGCTATATTAATACTGAATATGGTCAAAAGAAAAAATTCAGATCCAGGAAGCACTAATTATTACTGTTTCCTGCATGTCAGCTGCATCCACAGTGAGTTGCATAATAGCCACACAAATGCAGTCTTTGGCTTTGGCCCCTGTTTCAGTGAGACAACACACTTGATCTCAGCATATGGTAACTGAGACCAATTTAAACAAATATATTGCATAGCAAATAACCATTTCAACCCTGTTTCAACAGTGAGATTGTTTGAAGAGATTTGACTTAGTTGTTTCACATACACGTTCTGGTCAAGATTGCTTTGAGGGTATTTCCCACTGCTAATAGAAAATGCATTTGTTTGTAAGAAACAATAAATTCAATAAATCTGAAATTTCAAAAATTAAGATTTACATTCTTCGTCACTTTTCTCTCAGTCCTGAACACTACCTTTATAAAGGAGAGAAGACTTGGAAAGAAAGAAATCTTAATACACAGTCTTTCTTAAGCTACAAATTAAATTCAGATCATCTAATAAGAAATATCAGTACTCAGTCAGCAGTGGACTCCACAGCAGCCTGAAAGAAAGGAAATAAATACACAAATTGTATATTCCTGTTACGTTCAAGGCACAATTCCACATACTGGTACAAGAAGGGAGCTTCTCAAAATTGCCCAAAATCCAGCGCAACCAGTTCAAGTATTCCCACTGATCAGAGGGGTGAGCAGAGGTCCACTGCAACAACTGCTGTGCTGACCCACTTTCCACATGCCAGCCCCACAGCAAACCCCATCCTAACCTGAATGAGTGACCACTGTCAGGATTCTGCCGCAGGAATTCACCACAATGATTAGAGCATTTCAAGGTGGTGAATGTAAGTTCAAGTGCCCTAACAGATAGTGACAAATGGTTGGAGATGACCAATGCCCACAACACTCCATCACTGAGCAAGAAAAATGGCAGTATCACTAACATCTCATGACAATATGAGGATATTATTTCAAGAACAAGAACATTAGTATCCTTCCTTCAAAGGCTTTCCTGGAGGCTCATATATATGTAATTCAACTGACACTTTGGGAAACATCTAATATGCTAAATTACCGTTACAGGAGAGCAAAAGTGTGTTTTCTTGGATTTGATTGAATCAGGAGTGACTAAAGCATTTCTGAGATGAATAAAATTCTGGGTAGTATTCTTGCTTCCAGAAAAATCAATGCTTTATATTTTTTTCCCCAATGATTATTTACAGGGTGAACATCATAGCTGTGCTATTTGCAAGACTCCTGGAATATACACTATTTGTTTATTTTGTTCTTGCAGCCTAACAGGTAAGACTTCTCTATTGCACAATAGTATTTGCATTTACCGAAAAATCTGATGAATTTACCAAGTTTTTATCTCTGTCTTCCCTGTAATTAACTAAACTAGCAGCAGCCTTCAGAGACTGACCAAAAAAAAACATTTAGGACAGCTAATTCTTGCAAACTATTTTATGATCAGGTTCTAGAGTTTAGCCTTTGAGAGGACCAAGATGTAGCCTTGACCTTGGTCGTCAAGCTCCTTATTTACCCGCCTACAAATAACTGTAAAGTCTTGGTCTTGCTGAACAAGGCTTAGGCACTCTTTACCAGGAAAACTGACCATGCAGAAAACAGTAATGAAAAGCTGTCCTATCAGTCCATTTATGTAAAAGTTCTCAGATAATCCTACTGAATGGTACGTATATTTCTATTTGGCTTCATCTGGTTCATGCCTTACCTTTGTCTGACATCAGAAGGAAGGAATAAAAGGGTTAGTGCACATGTGAGTACAGAGATTGATGCAGAGTTTAGCAGCTATATTTTATATATATTTCCTAAAGGTGTAGCATGCAACTACAGCTACACATAACTTACAGTAAAACTTATTCTGCATTCCCAGAAGAGTAACATTTATAATTCAGTCAATTTACCCCCAGCATTTTGTGTTGCTTGTAGGCATACAGAGTGGTTTTTTGTAGCAATGTAGTGTTATTACCCTGACACCACTACAAGCAAGCAGCCCAAAGGGAATGTAGGCCTGAAGTACAACTCAGTTAGAGATGGTTTTTTGCAGCACTTGAACTACTAGAGACTGTTTCCAATTACAGCACATTCTTATTTCCTCCCCTGATGGCACTGGAGCAGGAACTCGTTCAGAATGGAAAATTAGGACCTGTTTGTACCAAAAGCTTCATAGAAACTTTCAACTTTTAACTGAATTTAAACTACTTTTTAAGAGCAAATATCTGTTCTCTGTCTCATTTGACACACACACAAAAAGAGATTTCCAAAAGTATTGCTTTGAGCATATTCAAAATGAGAATATAGGAAATCCTACCAGCCGTAGCTGAGATGCTCTTTCATCTTTTCTCTGCTCTTTGCCTTGTGACAAGGCACATCACTTTAAATGGCGATACCACTGGATTATGATGATCCAGAACTATCATCCTGCCTGTTCTCCTTCTTTGGCCAGTGGCAAACAAGATATAGCAGCTTATTCTTAGGTCTGTGTGTGCCTTCCCTGAAATACCAAGGTAGACATCTCTTTTCTAGGCCTTTCTTGTTCTTTTCTGCTGAACCTGTGACAGTGAAAACACTAAGAGCACTTGCTAGAAAACAGAGAGGTTCCTGTACTTTTGTCAGAGAAATCTAGAAACATCACTTAGACTGCTGTGTAATGCCCTGAAATTTATTCAGATAGAATGATTTTCAAATCACCAAATTCTGCTCTCCAGCAGAAGATCTGAACACTTTCAAATATTGTTTGATATGTAGAAAGCACACTGATTACTATCCTTGCCTTCAGAAATACTTTTCTAATGTCCAATATGAATAGTGCAGGCACAGGTCATAGAGACACCTTCTTTTCTCCATAATGGACACAAAGAATAGATTATTCCCTTCCACTCTGCAAAATCCTTTTACTTCTCTGCAAGTTACTAACACACTCTGACACCACTTTGTATTCTTCACACATACACGTACACGCACACCCACTTGTCATATATTCAAAGCATCTGATCATTCTTGTTTGCCTTTGGCCTCTCTCTCTTTCTTAATATGTTATGCCCAGTACTGAAAAGAGTACATTTCTGAGAAGAACCAAAGATTACTTACTTCTTATGCTTCAAAGGCTTTATCTCTCTTTATACTTCCCTGGCTGTCTTTCTACAGCATGTCATTGCTGACCTATATTCAACATGGAATTCGCTTTTCAAGTTAAGATCTCTCAAAACAGATGAACCTACTCAAGGAGAGACCAAAATTTGTCCCAAACAGAATTATTTAAGATTTTATTAGTTACAACTGCCAGTGGTGTCAAATAAAGCTAAATCAATATGCAGATGAGATTCACAGTTGATGAATGCATCTTAATAATATGTCTTGGAATAAATAATCTCACGTACACATCGCTGTGTTTTCAGTTAGCTATAATCAAATAGAAAGGGAACCAGTATATGCTTGCAGTGGTGCTAGGTGAAAATGTTGATTTATAAAGATTTCAAAGTGGTAATATGAGCCTATACAAAGCAGTGAACTGAAAGGAACAGAAAATTTATAGTAACCTTCTAAAAATCAGTGATCCCATTCTATGCACTGAAACTTTGAACTCTGTACTATTTTACTGCATAAAGATACAGAAAAATGAAAGCATTCAAAATACAGTACATGACAGATATTTTTTGTGA